GGGTTTCACCGTGTTAGCCAGGATGGTCTCGATCTCCTGACCTCGTGATCCGCCTGCCTCGGCCTCCCAAAGTGCTGGGATTACACGCGGAAGCTATTGCGCCCGGCCATAAAACACTTTATTAAACATAGAGGAAAATAACTGGCATGCAAGGATTTCTACCCAATCATCATTTGCCTAGAAGGACTTTTCACCCTTACCATGACAGCCTCCTGTGTGTGTGTGTGTGTGTGTGTACACATGTGTGTGTAAGTTGGGGTGGGGGAGAGTAGGGGGAAGGTGGCTGTGCCCAAGTGTCAGAGAGAGGCATATTGGACTCTAGGGTGGCATCCTGAATGCATTTTCCTATAGAACTGATATCAAGTGGGTTGCCTCAAAGGTTCATCTCATTCATTCACTCCCTTCAAGGCAATGGCCCATCTACCCTATATCCCATTTTAGAGATGCTCTGTGTTATCCACACACTCCATTTCTTTTACACTCCCCACCTCCAAGGGGTATGTATGCACATTCTGTCCATTTTACTCAAGAAACATGTTTCTTCTCTACTGCTTTGGCTTCAGTTCTCCTGACATTTCCACACTCTAGCAACAGCTCCCTCTTTGAACCACTGGAAAAGCCTGCTACCTGGCCCTTCTGCCACGTTATGTCCTCCATGTGTTGCAAGAAGCCTCTTCGTTAAGTCAATTTAAAAAAAAAAAATCACAAATACCTGCTTCAAATCTTTTCCCTTTCCTTTCATTCCTTACTTCTTGTTTCTTTCTTTTTTGGAGGGGGAATTATTGTTAATTGATAATATTTAATATTTAAACTCCTTAGATTCACATATGACTTCATACATTGGCTCCAACTAATTTTTTTCCAGTTTCATATCCTGGTACTCAAAGTCATGTACATTATTTTATTGCATAAAATGTCTCATCTTTCTCTAGAAATAACAGTCCTTGCCATAAATTCCTGCTTTTGTAACATGAAACGGCTTTCCTTTGGAGTGAGACCACTTTTCACCTGAAACATGCTCATCCTTCAACATCCAGCTTGTCTCCTCCTTAGGAAAACATCCTCTGTTCTGTTGGTGATACTGAAGGCAGTAAGTACCCTGAAAATGTCTTTGTAAAAGGTTTTGCCTTTAGTATTGTGATTACCCATTCACCTGTCTATCCCTTTCCAGAAATGTGAGCTCCTCAAGGGCAGGCTCCAAGTCTGACTTTCCTACTGTGCACATACGATGGTACTTGCCACGCCAAGAAACAAATCCTTACTGTTTGGGGAAAAAACAAAAGTACAAAGAATACAACTCTAATATGAACAAAACGAATGATAATATGCTGTTTAGAAAGTATTGAAAAACCAGGCACGTTGGCTCACACCTTGGGAGGCCGAAGTGTGGTGGATTGCTTGAGCCCAGGAGTCGGAGGCCAGCCCGGGCAACATAGTGAGACCCCGTCTCTCTTAAAAAACAAACGAACAAAAAAACACAGCCCTGGCAACATAGTGAGACCCCGTCTCTATTAAAAAAAAAATACAACAATTAGCCGGGCATGGTAGATTGTGCCTGTAGTTCCAGCTTTTCAGGAGGCTGAGAGAGGAGGACTGCTTGAGCCCACGAGGTCGAGGCTACAGTGAGCTGTGATCATCCCACTGCACGCCAGCCTGGGTGACAGGATAAGACCCTGTCTCAAAAAAACAAAAAAA